CTATAATACAACACCCGTCCTTTAAAGAGCTGAGCGGCAAATGGTTTTAGCCAGACAATCGATAAAGAGATTTGCAAGGGGAGTGTGCAGATCTCTTTATTATGAGCCTTTATTAGGAGTCTTTTGTTAAAGCTGTTGTATTTTTGAGGCTCACCTTAAAAAAGCAACAAAAGAAAAAAAAAAAGAGCGCTGATTCAGAAAAACTTTGGAGAAAATAGAGGGAGAGAGAAAGAGAGACATAAGGGTGAAACTGATCCCTGTTGACCCCTTCGGCATGCCCCCTTTCTTTTTATGACTTTCCCCCGAATCATCACTCACCAGCTCTATCAACACGGGCCGGCCTCCACTCACACACATCCACACTTGAACACACGTAGAACATTAGCTAATGCTTGTGCCTTTAAGGTCTCCACAGACTGAGGAATTTTTTATGCTTTAAGGTGATTGTTAAACTCCAGAATCCTTTGAAAATTTTGAAGCTATGATTTATATATAAAAATATTGCAAAACGAGACTGTAAAAATTATTTGAGGTCTTTATACAGAGGCTAGCCGTGTGAAAACACGGATGGACTATTCAAACACTGTTTGGCTACTAACTCTGCACCTGTGTTCCTGCACAGCCTCTGGGGTCTCCCTTTATGGCTTAGACTAAATTAGATGGACCAAATGCATTTCTGCACATGCTTAAATACATAACTGCTGCTGACTGCGGTATTTATAGTGGGACTCTATTTAGCACTGTTTTAGATGGTGGACTGTAAATCAGGGGAGAGGAAACACAACTGGTAAGGCGTTGCTGAGAAATGGTAATTAACACTCAGATAGGCTGGGCTTAGTTTAAGGCTGGGGCTGAATATGCCTTTGAGAGAAAGTCACCTCGACTCTAGAATGATTATTAATGACAGTCATTGAAGTGTCTGCAGAGTTTGGTCGACCTGAAAAGCGTCCCTTGAACTCACCACAGTTAGCATTTTCAATCATCACAGTTTAAAGAGGAAAAGTCGCTGAATCTTTAAAGTGTCTAAACACAATCTAACAGTTTTCTTCCTGAGAGAGAGAGAAGAGAAAATACACACGCAGGGTTTTCAAATCATTTTAAGGAGTCTAAGCTGCCAATTCGTCTGTGGGCACATGAAAAGAAATAAAAACACGGGACAGATGTTAGAGCAAAAACCACATTCAAACGTTGTCACAAACTGATTTTTTTTTTTCAAATGATTGGGGCACATCTATTAAATAAAGTGCAGCTAGATGGATATAATACAGCCAGAGCATAAGGAAATATTTAAACAGCCAATTGGAGCCAATTAACTTTGATCACAGTGACTGCATTTGAAATCTTTGTCACTTGTCCGTCTGAAAGAGTTTGCACATATTTTCCTGTCTCCTGGCTGACTGTTTGAGTATTTTCTTTTCTCTTGTTTTTTTGCCAGGCTTTTTTTCTTGTAACGCAGCTGAACGTGGCGGTAAGTAAGTAATGAGACTTAGCAGACTAGCTATAGATCTCTTCGCCCTTAAGTATCAAGGAAAACATTTCCCCTTTTGTGAGGTAAGCAAATATAAGGGCACTAAAGAAAACTAGGGAGTCATTTAGACCAGAGGGCAGAAATTTGGATAAAAAAGTAAAAACATAAAAAAGTACTACAAAATTAAACTAAGTTGAGCAAAACATTTTAATTAAGTTTTTAAGCTTATTTATTTGTACTAATATATAAAAAAAAGTTTTCCTTTACACTTCTGGTCCTTTTCTCTATCTCTGAGTTTTCCTTTATATTTAAACATATATGTCTACATTTATGAAGGAATATTGGGATAACTACTGCAAAGAAATTTACAGAGTTTTCCAAAATAATTCAAACCAGTTAATCTATTTCCCATTTTTAACATCATAACAACATTTATTATACTTTGCAAAGATTTTACCTAATAAACATCTGAATTACATGCTCTCCATACATATTCCTCCATTCACCCTTAGAGGCAGTTAAAGTAAACATTTTGTCCTTTTTTTTTTGCAAAAATAACTCAAGATCAGTTAGATTAGATTGCCAGAGATTCTCAATTAGATTTGGGTCTTTAAGTTTGAAATTCCACACAGGGGTAAATTTAAACGTCTTGCTTGTTGGCTCTGCTTGTTTCGGGTTAAGGTAATTTCCTGCAGTCTCAAAAATACTGCTGCCTTTAAAATGTGTCCCTTAACTGATCTGATGGATCTACCTCACAACCCTGAGTAGCTACACTTTCCCTGCCAAAGACATGACTCCACAGCATAATGCTGACGCTGTCGTGTTTTGAGGGAGATGTGCTGTGTTAGCAGATACGCCATTTTGCAAGTAGGCCAAAATGTTGAAAACTCTATTTCTCTCTTTTCTATTACACTGTCATGTTCACTACCTCAAGTATTTGATATTACGCCATGGTTTGGGTGAATACTAGATACTGACTGGCTTAGGGTGTCCATTAAAAAGAATTGAAGGACACCTATAAAAAGTTCTGGTTAAATAGCATGATTGTTCTAAATAACTGTTGGGTCAAACGTTAGTTTGAAATGGCAAGACTGTAGACAAAACAAGAGGGTTTTTATAATTTCCTTTTAAAACAATTTTATCTGTGGACTTGACTCACACAAGCTGTAAGAGATGCACTTTCCCTCTTGAAGCAGTACATGCAGAAATGAAAAAGGGGACGGCATTACAAATTCAATTTTCTTGATGACCATTTAGGATTGCTGATTACAAAACAGCAAACACTTTTTTCCCTTTTTAAACATCTCCCCATATGGTTTATATTATTGTACTTCATTTTATTATGTATTTTCAACGCATTTTATCTAAAGTGTTTAGTTGTATGTTTTCCTGCGACTTTTAAAAATTCTTTTAAACTGTTATTATTGAGAGCATCTTACAATTTTTAAATTATATTGAAATTTCACTGTATATTGGTTAATCATTTTTAATTCATGATTTTTCAATATTTTTCTTGTTATCTACTTTCTTCAGTAATATTGTGTTACAAGAGGGGAACCTTTAACCTGTCTGCCTGGAAACTAATAAATCCTCCCTATATAAATGATAAACTTAATCTTGTCTGATAATTGTTTAAGTGCTGATTTATTCTGACAGAAGAATTGATTCTTTCTGATCGATAAAGAGCAGGAGGAGAGCAAAATGCTTTATAATTCTCTGAAAACACATACAAATGTTCAAATCTCCGCACAACCTCTGCCAGCCGATCTTCAAACTAAATATTACATAACAGTTCTCCACCTGAAATAAGGGGTGGGAGGCAAATTCATGTGAATCCTAACCAATAACACAACTGTTCGTGGACACATACTGCAAAAAAAAAAAAATAAATCTTCCCAGATGCTGCTGAGAACAATCGGCGAGAACCACCAAGGTGAGGCTGCAAGGACAAATTTGCATCATTTTTTTTACTTCTCATGGAGTATGTAGCAGCCTTTAGGCTAACTAAAAGTCCTTCTAACGATTCCTAACATTTGTTTCCGGCTTGTGACTCCTAGGACAAATTGGAAACCCAGAGGAAAGAGCATTTTCCATTGTTGGCCCTTAGCTGTCGAATGCTCTGCCCCGCAATATATGTATGTCCCAAATCGCATCTTAAGACTTTCTTTTATTCTCTGGCTTTTAGCATTACATAAGTTGTGTTGTCCCCTTTTTATTTTATTGTTTGAAACAGTTTTATTGATATTTATTGTTTTATACTGACCTTGTTGTGTGTGCAGCACTTTGCAAATGTTTTGTCATTTCAATGTGCTATATAAATGAAGTGGATTAGATTGGATTTAGGAGCTCTCTTAAGAGTTATGGTAATTTGAATAGCTTTTATTGCAAAATTACATGAAAACCCCTTAGATAACATTAATGAAAGCTAATTTTAGTTTTAAGATTGTTTGTGAATATGGGCTTAGGTTTTTAAACCTTGTGACTAAAGCTCTAAGCATCCTGGTCAGATGGGGGAGCTCCATCTACAGGACGCTGCGGCAAAACTGACGAGATTTGAAACCTGCACCAAGATTGGGAAATTCTGAGAGGTCTTTGTAATGCTTGGGTTTAAAAACAGTTTTTTCATCCACACACATACATATACTCATTTTGCTATATGTAGTGAGGACCATGGTTTGACAGCCATTGACTTACATTGATTTTCTGTCATTTTCAACATTTTCTGTGCCCTGACCCTGAAGATAACCCTAAACATACTCATTACCTCACCCTATAAAAACCTTAGCCCTTGCCCTAACCATTAGCATCATATCTTGTGAGGACCAGCAAAATATCCTCAACAACCGGTCCTCAATGTGACAGTGAAAGTGAAAAAATGGTCCTCACTCTGATTCCTTGACAGGTAAACACGCATACACACAATTACGCATTTCTTTGTTTTGTCTATTAGATAAAATGTTTTTATATAACAAAGTTTCAAAATGTGTGAAAACGTCTTCACCAAACCATAAACCTACCCCTCCTGATCTATGTATTTCTTCACCCCAAGCAAATTTTTTAAAAAATTAGACAAAAGAAAAAGACCCCTAAGAGAGAGATGGCAGGGGATTCTCTGCAGTGATAGAGGAGTTTGTGGTGTAGGAGGCCAGTTACACCAAGCACACAGCATGACACACTGGCAGACATGAGAGCAACAGAAACATTAGAGCCTGACAAATTGCACTGGCTGCCATGAAAGTGGGAAAGGGGTGGAGGCGGGGGCAGGGCTGGTGACCCAGGAGACTGACAGCACATGTAAAATTCACAGTATCCCTTGGGCACTGAGGTAATACCTCACAGCTATGGGGGATAACTGAGAGACAGGCCTATAAGCAATACACAGTTGTTGCTTCTTTTGCTCAAATTTGACCCATTTGGATTCTGTTGGAATATATCTATGCCTCTGCACCTTTTAAAACCATATCAGCGTAAACAAAGGACATGTTTGCATATTCAACTAACAGAGGAGCAAAGCGCACCCACGGAAACTCACCTCTAAGTCGTTAAAGAATAAGTGTGTGTCTGCCAAGTTGAAGATCATTTCTTCCATCCTTAGTCCTAATGATACAGAAGTTGGAGGGTCCTTAAAGACACAAAAATATCTAAATCAAACAAAGAAATCATTAGTTTTAAAGCGTTTTCTCTTGCACATTAGAGGGATATATATATCAAATGCAGTAAGTCATGATATTTGCCCTAAATCATTCAATTAACACACAGTCCCCTTACATTCCACCGCAGGCTTGTCCCATAAAAGAAGACCTGAAAGTTTTCTGCCCTTTTAACAACCCTCTGAAAAGGACCAGAATAGTCATCACAAAGGCCACAGACTTAAATGAAGGTCATAAAAATGGGTCTCCTCTCAGGAAGGATAGTTGATTTAAAAGAGCTGGGTCACAGCCCAGAATCGTAAACAGCAGCGTTCTTCACATATTTGTGCAGATGCATCATTTGATTCTCTAGCTGATATATATCGCTGTTTCACCTGAAGTCTGTCTGACATGTTGGCTGTTTCTGATTATAACCAAGAAAAAGTAACGCTAAACACAAAATACAAACTTGCATAATATATAATGTATGACTCTTGCTGTGATGGGAATATGATCCCACAGTATGTGTGGTATTACCTTAAGAATATTGAACTAGATTAAATGGTAAAAAAACTAACAATATGTTTATTTTTGCTTTTAAAAAAGATAAAAACTATACTACGTGCATTTTATTTAATTCTAGTGTTAGATTTGAACAAATAATAATAAAAAAGAATCACATTTTGTCATCTAATTTCTGAGATGTTTTTTTTATTTACACAATGCGTTTGGATTAACTCTCTAAACAGCAAATTATCTTTAGCAAGTAAAGGTTGAAAGAAGACAATGGCTGTCTTTTCCTGCAGCTGGGGGAGATCTGCATTTAAGTCGGACCAGAAGCTGGGATTACCGAGTTAAACCACCTAAAGACACACCTGAGCTCTCCGCTGATTAGCTGTCACACCCCACAATCCTTATGTTTTCACCAAAATGACAGAGTGCAAACCACACAAGTAGAGCTCAATCCTCCCCTTCTCCAGGCTTTCTCCTTCCCTTCGGCTTCCCAGTTTGAATCAATCTTTCAGTAGGAATTCATCAAAAACAATTAGCCCCCCTCCTTACATCAACAAGCTACCTCCCTCTTCCCAACGTCTGCCGCTGCTGGGAGATTTAGCACTATGGACGGGTTCGGTGGGAAAAGGCCATCCTCTCTGGTGCAAGTGAATCCTTTCCAATTAAATCTAAACAATCAGTCAGTGAGAGAGTTAAGAATACAAGCAGGCCAGAAGGCCAAAGTGCTGCTGCTGTCACTGCTGCACAACCACCTGTCCTGAGATGTCACTGCGTCCAAGGGGGGCTCCCAACATCCACCCTCACTCCCTCTGAGCCCCTTAGCAATAACACCACCCCCACCGACACACACATCCACCCTTACCCACTTGGAGCCCAAGCTTTAGCCTGCCCAATAGCAGCACAGCTGGCCTCAGCCATCAGCTTTATGGGGGTGAATGTCTTGATGCCAATTAAAAGGGCTGATAAGAAGAGTGCTCTGTTTATGTGTGTATGTGGGAGGGTGGGGGGGAGTTAGGGAGAGTGGCTGGGAGGTCACAGCAAGTAAGAGAAAGTGTGCATGTCAACTCGCTCAGATACTCATCTATTTATAGTAAGCTCACAACAGCAAAGAGAAAAACATTGTAACTTATTTTTGTTTACACCACTAAGATAGACATGACATGACTGACAGATACGCAGGAGGACAAAGAGGAGGAAAAAAGGCTGGTCGATAAAGAAAAGTGATAGTTGTTACTTAAAGAGGCACCAAAAATGTACGGTTTACCGAGTATGCTTTGGGTTGGTTTACATGGTGCGTGATCAGGCAGTAGGATAAACTGAAACAATTTGATGCTGTTTCAGATGAGTAAGCAATTAGTAGTAAATCCAATCAGTTTGCTCAACCAACAGTTATCTCTTGTGTGGACGCTGCCATTAAACATGATTGGAGACTTACACAGAAATGCATGTACCGGTATACTTTTTAAGGCGATACATGTCTGGACCAAGAGACATCAACTTTCCTCTTTGATGAAAAGATGTGCCGTTTTGAAGTCCTTTAAGGCAGGACAGAAAACTAGATTTCCTATGAGGCTTGCTTAATAAAAATAATAATAAAGGTGTCTATTTGAAAGTATTGCCGACATTTTTGATATGTGTTGCCCTGTTCTCAAATATGAAGTGCTGCAGCAGTTCCTTCCTCAACCCTAAGCAGTTCCAGGGAGCCTAGTCCTTGTGAAGCAGTACACTCCAGCAGAGGATGTTTACATTTCCAAGTCTAGACTGGAAATCATTCAAGCTCAACATTGATTTTTTCTTTCTATTGGCTACCTTTGGTTAATTTCTTTCACTTTGATTGTATACAAAAAATAAATAACATTTTCATATTTGAGTTTGACTGAACTACTAGGCTCCAGTTTAAAAAAAAAACTTAACTATAAAACTTGAAATAAATACAAACGTCGCAAAAATGGTAAAAAATCTAAGATAACTCTGCATGGGTTTCTCTGTTGTCTCTGTTGCCATTTGGATCTATCCTTAAAAAAACATCTGTTATGATTATGTACCCATGGTCAATAGCAGCTTTACTTGCTGATAAGTTAACAACCTTTTGAAAGAGAACACAAGACTTTCAATGGATAACAGGAAGGCTACATCTATAAGAAAATGTGTTCTGATTCATCCTTTTAAGAATTAATTTAACTGGTCAACAGTGTTCATGGGAAAGCACAGAAAGATTGAATTCTATGTCATATTAGCTACACTACTACAATATATGCCAGTAAAGACATCATAATCCTTTTGTCTATTTTTTTTGTGTGGAAAACTGGTGGGTGTCTAAAGAAAAAAAAAGTGTAAATGTGTCTAAACTGGGCAAAGAACTAGAAAAAGAGGGAACAAAGGGGAAAACAGGGAGACAGAGAGAGAAAAAGAGAGGGGCTTTAGAAGCTGTCACATCCCATATGAGCTCTGATGGAATGGGCCCTTATGGAGTAAAGAGTGTTTCCTGTTTCAGAGGAGCCCATTGCAGAACCCTATGGGTCTTTGCATGTCAGTTGCTGTGTGTGTGTGTGTGTTTGGTGTAAGTGCCCCTCATCATGGAGCTAAAGCTCCCTAAGCTTTAGCTCTCCCAATACCCAGCATGCAGGCCTGAGAATAAAGTAAATAAACACTGGAGGGTCGTGGGGCAGCCCTCCTTCACCCCAGAAACAAAACACTGCCCCCATCAAACACCCCCTCAATACTAGAACAAAGGCAGAGAGCAGGAGCTGCAGACATTAAGCTTTCTGACACTTGAGAAGCAATATTTCATTTTTTGACTTCAAAACCCAGTCAATTTGAGATGCTGTGTAAAGACTAAATCAAATGACACATGGATTTATTGATGACTTTACTATGAACAATAACCCTACATGCTCAAGGAAAAAAGCCCCACCTATGACCCGGACAAAACCATGAGAATATAATTCTGCCTTATTTCCCAAATAGTTTGTTTTTAAAGTTTAAATTTAGAGGAGCAATTTAAACGAAACAACAAATAGCAAAGCCTGGAAAAGCAAATTCTTTATCTTATGAGAATACACATTGACCTGGGTAAGAAAGTGACCTTCTCCAACAATAAATAGAGAGGCACCAAAATAAAAATCAGTTGCTGACCAGAAAATGCAGATTCCCAGCTGGATCTGATCTGACTACTGACTGGGAGTTTTATTGGCACAAACAAAATTCAGCCATTGTTTTAAATTGGTAAACAATTAATAGCAATGTATATTTACCTAGTGTTTAAAACTAAGTCAATAAAAATGAAAAGCCATATACAAGTCGGTTTAGTTTGAATGAAAACATTTCCTTCTAATACACAGTTATCTTCTTTTTAAGCGATGCATACTCTCCTCTTTTAAATATTAAAACTTTCTCTTTACAGTAACTCAACCTTTCTGCTAGCTAACCTTCCTCTGCACAGAAGCTTGTCACCATTGGGTAAAGGTGTATTATTGCACTAACCTTAATATTTAGAAATACAGAGAACTTTGAAATGACCATTAATGTAGAAAGATTTAGCTAGAAATAAAAAAAAAATGTACTTTACAACTTCAACTGGGTGAAAGATGGGTCCTTTGCAATGTTTGCTGTAGGTAATACTCAGACTAAAGGCATGTTAAAGTTTCATTATTTTTCCTTTATTTTTAAACACTTAAAGTTTTATTATATATTAAAATCAGGATCAATTAATCAGCTTTTAGAAAAAAAACTAGTGTTTCAAAATGAGCCACAAAGTTTTGATAGGTGCATCTCTAACAGTAAATATTTTTGTCAAGTTTCATCAACAAATATGTACATGTATATTTAAATCCAAGCTAAGGCAGGTTTAAGAGAATCTCTCCATTTTAATCTGGATCAAAGCCATTTGTCGAACTCAGCCTCCTGGTGCGGTCACCAGGGAGATCCCTGCCTGAAAGGAACGAATTGAGAAGCACTTAATTAAACTAACAATGTGGGATTTCTGAAGAAGAAAGAAACACTCAAGATGTGTCAAGAGACAGTCAGAGTGCAACTGTTGCAAGCTTCTACAGCCAAGCCCTGACCAACCATGCATAGCTCCAACAGCTGCAAAGAGGAGCCAAATACTTGCCAGGCCTCATTGGACCTATTAAAAAAAGAAACAATTATCTGTACATCGAGTTCAGCTCTGTCAACTTACTATGCGCTAAGAGCAAAGTGAATTTTATCCCTTCGCTCAACGGCCGTTACCACATACTGCCCCTCGTTCTCTCCTTTCAATATTTATACATTTTTGCAGATAAAGTGCACTGCTGCTGCCAGGGCCTGATGTCACTCACCCGTCCGTATCTGTTGGCATAAGACCCCGTGAGCAAGGAATGGAAAACGATGATTGTTTCATCCAGGTCCCAGATGAAAACTCGCTGGAGAGATGGCATCATGAAATGGGGTGGGAGGTTGGGAGAAAGACAAAGAAAAAAAAATAGAGAGAAATGAAGAAAAATCAATGGTGCACTCTGTAGAGCTGCAAGGTGATCCTCCTGGTCAATAGGCCAGCAGCGTATATTTGTGTGCCACAGGGACCGGGATCCATTTGCTTGGACTGGTCACCGCAACAGTTCTCTCATCACCCCACTACACACATTCCACCCTCTTAACCTTTACATTAGCTTAATCAATAGTGACAAACTAATTTACTCAATATGTTAACACACCATGACGTCAGCAATATAACGGCATTTAGTATCCTTATTCATATAAAAAAGGTATTAATGAGAGTTTTTTTTGTCTTAATTTGAACACCATCATTTAGTAAGTAGCTCAAGGACTATGACATACATTATCTGCACTGATCGCATTACAGTGCCTTGTTGTTTATTTACAAGTTATACACATGAACTTTATATATGATATGTGTTGAGTCATATATTCCACACTGCTTTTAATAATTTATTGATAGTTAAGGAACTCGCTGTTAAGATTTAATGCCCATCAAGTGTTTAAGTGGCAGCCATAAAGTAAGTGGATTAACATCTATGAGCTTCAGACAGGGCGAGGCTGTCTGTCGCCAAGGTAGCGGGCTCATCCTACCTCAAGGTCAGAGTCGGGCGGTGGTGATGGGTTGTTGTTCCTTCTTCCACGGCCACGTGACTTTCCATCCGAGGCCCGGCGCAATCGATCTGAATCTGAATCTTTAATGGGGGTTGATGGACTGTGGATGGTGCTGTACTCTGCTGAAAGGAAGGAAAGGCCGAGGAAGGAGATTATAAAAGGGAGCACATCAAAGATCAGCTGCTATTCGCTACTCAAAAAAAAAAGATGTCTGATTGACCATTTGCCTTTATGCAGGACAGACTGCCTCCTGTGTGAGACATTTTTCAGAGAGAACTGATTTAGAAAAGAAGATAAACATATGATAATTCACTTACAGAACAGAAAAGCTATTGTGCACTGCCCTGATTAAATAAACAACAGGGTAACAGAGTGCAGGCCAAGAAGACATTGAGGGGACTTCTTTTATCTTAACTGGATGACTGCGTGAAACGATGTTAAGTTAAAGCTGGCCGCCGTCTGTGTCGTTTGCTGACAATTTTAAATGCAGTCACAAAATTTGGATTGACTTGCACAGATGCAATCTTAATTGCCAGGTCATGAATTAATGTCACATGAAATTACAATGAATTCCACATCTGATTCCACTTTAGGTTCTTTGCTTTTCCTTTTTTTCGATGCCACACTGTTTTTATGTAGTAAGTGGATACGACAGTTGTTCGTTTACAGTTATTACTGTTATTTTAAACATATTCTCTATACCATACTGAATCAGGCATAATTCTTACCTGCAGGGTTGTCTGTAAGAGCTTGGCTGGTGATCCCAGCGGGGGGCTCCTGGAGAGTATATGTGGTGGTGGTGGAAGGGGTGCTGGGGCTGGTGTTATTACTTGTCATGTAGGGTGAGGTATATGGGGAACTGTTGTAATACTGAGCATATTGGCCCTGGCCAAAACCTGGATAACCGGGGTAGTCCTGAGGAGCAGTGCAATAGGAAGTATGAGAAACATGAAAGTTAAAATCTAAAAAAGACAAGAACTAATGGGAGATGGCAGTTACACCTATCTAGGTCTTCCTTGACAAATCTGACTCTGCTCTTGGTTAATGTGTCTATAAATATGGTGGGAGGGGTTGGTTTACAATTAATGATTAAAGAAAGAAAAATTGTTTTGATTTTTTTGTATTTGACCCAATAGGAATTAACAAACGAGAAAATTTGAGTCAAGATTTAGTTAAGTAAAATAAAATATGAAGTGGATGGTGTGGCATAGTAACCTGAGATATAACCTCCACCAGTCTTGCTACTTTACAGAGCAGATTCCAAAAAACATAAATGCAAACATATGTCCGTTCGCTTCTACATCTGGACAATGATATGTCTTGTTTTTCTCCTCTCTTTTCGCTGTGGCATAATACACGTGTTCAAGACCGACAATTGATAATCCTTTTGTCATTTTGAGTGATTTATGGTGGCTGAGTCACGACTAAAATGTAACATATTACGTTTCCTTCTTTCAAGAAGATTTCAAGGATGGGAGCTTGAAAAAAAATAAACTTCACTTAAAACCCATAGCTGTACATTTGGACCAGATCAGACAAAAAGAAAAATAAGGAAAAGTTTACACATACCTGTTGTGTGCTGTTAAAGCCTGTTGAGTTCGTCAATGAGTTGTTTCCTGCATACAACCCAGATGTTGTTGTGAAAGAACCACCTGTAAGGAAAAAGGGAAACAACTGTTGCATATGTAATTATATTCACATAAAAAAGGTAAAACTAGAAAATAATGTTGCCAGAATATTTCTTTTTTTTTTTCTTCCTTTTTTTGGGAAAAGGTGAACAGAGGGAGTCCTGAGGGAATGATTCGAACAGTGGCCTTATCTTTCTCCTCTTCTTTTCTTATCAGTGATTGGATCAGGTCTGATGAATGACAAGGTGGGGGGTGGATGCAGAACCGGATTCGAAGCCTGCACAATGTGAGGCACAGAGGAGACTTGTGTGTGAACTACTGAAGGGTGGAGTGGAGTAAAAAAAAACAACGGGGAAATCTAGGGACTGTGCGTGAAGAAGAAGTGGGGGCTGAGCTTAAAATGATTGGGGTCGGGTGAGTTTGCTGTTGCTATCTAGTCCTAATGAATATGTAGGCTCTTCTTTTCACTTGCTCGAAGGGTGGTCGTCCTGGGTAATTAAATCATTCAAAAGGGGTTGATAAAATCTAATGGCTTAATTATACAGAAGCCATGGGGCAAATGTAGGAAAGGTCCATCAGTCCTTTGGGAGACTGACCAATACTTACCTTGAGAAGATCATCCTTTTAAAGGATCATCTACCATTGCAATTACAATATTGTTTAAAAATAATAATCAGAGAGAAAAATGCAGGAACTAGCCTTGAAAAAGGATACCCTTATTTAAGAATAGGAGAATTTAAATTTTACACTATTATTATTACTATAAGATGTAATAGTAATTATAATACATATCTATTAGTAGATATGTATTATAATATTATGTGCACATTATGTTGTAGATATGAATTTTAATATATGCACATTATGTTGCCTATAAATAGCATGATATAGAAGCCAATAGCTAATGTCAAACTTTATTTTCTTAGAACGTACTCTAAGCACTGTAATATTTTATCGAAAGCATTAAAAGTGAAAGTATCACATATTAGCATAGAAAAAATTCTGCTGATGATTGGAACTGACTGATTTCCAGTTTTCACTAAACACCAGCTACTCAAATAGTCATTCTTTTTTCAGGCAGTCACTGCCTGCACTGCACCTACAGCATCCTGTCATAACATGGTACCAAATAGAACAGCCTTCAGTATGAGTACTGTTACTCAGCAGAGAGTTTCGTCGCTAGCTATATGTGTGTAAGCAAGGTGTTAAAGAATTAGGTTAAAAGCACTGCAGAGGAGAAAGAAGCTATTTCGAAGGAAAAAATATTTTTGAAATCTGTGTTTATTCAGAAGCTTCTTCTAGCCTTGAGATAATGAGGGCTGACTGTGTTTCATTGGATCATTGATCCAGGAGAAGCTGGATTTAGAAAAGTAAGCAACCTTTAGGAAATTATTAAGGAAAAGATTTCGGTTCTCTAGGCAAATTGACCGCTGTTCTAAGAATCCATAGACTAAACATTTTCAAAAGCAGTTAAATCCTTTTTACATTATAATTAAAGCAAGGTACAGTCACAGGTAACATTAATCCATGCTTTATAAAATACCATCTTTCACTATCGCCAAAAATGGTTTCCAACATTTACGGTAAAAAAAATTCAGGAAATGAATTTACTGTTAGTAGATGATGGGGTCATTACAGCTCTGTTGTCAGAGACAAAGCCTCTTTCTCACTTAAATTGGCGACTTAATGCAGGTTTTTGTAAACACTGGTTGGCACCCTAACAATTGGCATTTGGCTCCCTTCCCATTGGCCAAAAAGGTGGGTCTGTCCCCCCGCTGCAGCGTGTCTAGTGATGCCATTACAGTGGGTTAGCGTTGATGATGTCACCAGTACGACAAGAAACCAGGAAAGTAAACAATGGAGTGCAACATGGAAGTGAGCCAGGGCGTAGTGAGTGTGCCTTATTGTTTAATTTTTGTGTCCCTCTGAATCTCTGTCACCAGTGCTGTGCCATGTTTATTGACTGTAAGCAGAGTGGTTTTTGGTTGTTAGATCAGACACGACTGGCGTGCTGTGTTGAAGTTTGTACGTTCCGCTTAATGGTATCAAGTAAATTAGCGGCTCAACCCAGGTCTGATTTTCCCACTGTATGCTGATCAGAGCTGAGCCGTTTGAAGGCGATTTTAATGCGGGTCGTGAGTCTTTCGACCCAGATTGACACGGGTCAGTGAGCCTAGCCGTTGCCACTAAAACCTGATCATTCCTGGGTTTAAACAGGTTCTTTGGCCATTGGGAAAGGGGTAAAACATAGGGAGTTCCTTTCATTTCATCCACTGGTCATTGACCCCATCAGAAGGGCCCTCCCACACCGTGACAAATGTGAAGCAGGTTTCAGAAAGGGGAAAAAAGATTTGGAGACATTTCTTTTTTTATGAACTTGTTGGATGGAAGGAGACTGTGATGGGGTAGTGAAAGTTTGTAGCAGCTACATAATGGGAAGTCACAATAGTGTTAGATGTTGTAAGCAACAGCTTGAAAAGAAGAAGGTCTGGCTCTGTTAGAGTTTGGTCTATCAGCAATTTAATCAAAATGCTTCACTATCTATATTGTTTTGCTTAATTGGTTCAAGATGAGCAAGGGAATTTTTAACAGATTTTTGCTCTATGTTGAAAGTTCAAAATCAAGTGAAAGTACACCAGAACGATGAGAGAGAGAAGGAGAGAAGTGATGCTGTGAAGGACAACAAATTAGCCTAACATACAGTTCAAACAGTCATAAAAACTCTCACTGGGAGCGTTGGAGGGTTGCTCTGTGGAGAACCAGGAGCCACATAAAAGCTTCAGAGACCCCTACTAGCCCAGTGAGAATGAGCCCATGCTGTTGGGTGGGTTGGTGCTGGTTATGGAAGGGAAAAAAGAGGGAGGGGAGGGGGACTGCTGCGGTTCCCCGCGGGGCATGTTTTCTCTCCCTCCCCCTGTCCTCCTGCAGTTAGTTCACTCACTCAAGACCAGACACCATCCCTCCCTCCTATCCTTCTTCCCTCCTGCCTTCTGGCTCCACAATTGGAAGTCCATTTGCTTTGCTTGATCAGTCTCTTTGCCACGGGCTATGTCTATCATCAGTGCACAATATTTGTAGCAGAAGTTTGTATGCTCCACTTGGGAATAGACTATCAAGACCAGATGGGGTTTTACTTAAAAAGAAAAAAGGTAACCGAGGATTTAGCTTTCTTAGTTTACACAGGCTTTGGGACAGAACACTGGAATACAATTATTCATCTAATTAGCATCTGCATAATATCACTCTCTGCAGCCTTTTTCCAACTGATCTTATGTTATAACATTTTACTGACAATAAAACTCCAGATATAACAAAGATTATAAAAAAAAATGCCAATTGCAAAAACTTATAAATGTGAGTACAAACATTAATTTGTTCATCTTGTGTATTGACAGCTGGCCTTCAGACTGGTTGTAGGGAAACTGGCAGAAAGGGGCGTATCAAATGTGGAAAACATCTTTGGTTCAGAACCCGCAGGCCTGAGGGCGCATCACCCAGGCAGATCAATAGGCCAGAAAGAGCAATGATGACGGTGTGGCAGTTGGCCAGAGCCACAGTTAGAGATTCCACGGCCAGACAAATGGCCAGTCTGTCATCTGGCATGGATGTTAATTAATGGTGCACTTAAAACTAATATAGAGCAACAATAAGAGACAGCAGGAGAGTGAGGTAAACAAAAACGGAGAAGGAGCATACCACTTAGAAGATCAATCAGAACTCGCTAAAGTAATTTAGCAGCCGTAACTGGGCAGGTTAGCAGCTTGGGTTTGCCTGAACTTGATTTCACCTTTGGGTCTGATTTTAGATGCTTGTGTGAATCCTGCAAGACCCTGACTGTGACTTAATATATTTCGTTAAGAGACTTCTCCATACAAGATCTGCAGCTAATGTTGACTGTTAATGAGAAATGCTCTTAAATCCTTTTACCAACGCCTCACAGTATTTTAAATTTAACTCAAATCACGTGGACACCCAGTGAACACTCTCTGCACTGAGATAGTTTACCTTAACGGCACAGTTCAGGAAGCGCAGAGTCAGTAAAAAGGATAATAAGTACCAGCTACCTGCCGAAGAGAGGTTGTGTAATTTTAACTTTCCTTTTATTCCGCTTGCAAAAGTGCAGCCGTCATACGGAAGATCATTGGTAGTAAACCAACTACTTTCTTCTTTTTCGGTGTAAATAATCATCAGCTGTTGTGTAAATATCCAGCAAGTGCAGGTAAATAAAATGGTTTAAGGTTTAAAAAGATGTACTGGAAGTGCTTTGCTGTTATGCGACGCAACATGGTTTAGTCATCAGCCTCCAGGATAAAGTTATCTGGATTTTATGCTAAATGAAAACACCAAGAGACATTATTTATCCCCTTTTAACAAAACTTTGCCCCAAAAGTCATAAACTAACACCATAAGAGTTGATTTCCATTTTAACAAAATGTACGAATGGACAGCAAGAAGAAAAATAAAGGGAAGAACAGAGAACCACAACTTATCGTTATTGGTTTCAAGGCCATAAATCTTTTTGGTCTCAGCGCTCAAACAAATACAAATATGATCACAGGCAGAAAAAAGAAACAAAACAACAAAAGATGAAAAGCACCATGGCTTTTGCCTCCTAAGTGCCTGACGTTTTTCCATCTGTGTTTTTTTTTTTTTTTTTTTAAGAGTAGAGAAGAGGGAGGCATACTTTGCGGCTGCACACCGCACTCATGGGATGGAACCATCATCGCGGGTGAGGACAAGGCCTGTGTCTCGACTCAGTCTGGCTGTGTGTGCTATGAAATCAAAAACAGAGGTCTGCTCCTTTTATCCTTTTCAAAACAATACAGGAAAACTAATTTAATTGGCCAACTAGGGGATGACTATTTATATACAAGGGAATGAAAAACTACAGATGCCAACATGAGATAGACAAATGATAGAAAAAAAACAAAACAAATTTAACAAGAAATTAAAGCCATCATACTTTCGGATTTCTGAAGAAATTGTTTTTGCGCAGATGTCATCATGGTACCCGTTATATAAACAACTGTTTTAACCTGCAATCATCCACACATTCTCCTATCAGTGTTCATAACTAGATATAGGCAGAAGTGACAAAAGATGTTCTCACCCTGCATCTGGTAACTGTAAGGGGCCTGTCCCGTCTGTGGTGTGGTAAAGCCAGAGCCGTAGCTCAGGAAGCCCGTCTGTCCCGGGGATTGGGACTGGCTCAGACCCCCTTCGGTCTTTATGCCTGCCCACAATGGACCTAAATCAGTTAGTGACACCAGATCGGTTTGATGCACAGACAACAGTCAACACAGGTTTAAATTACATTGGAGGCAGCAAAGGGACTCTGCCTCTGTCTGTTAGCATAACACAGTAATCACAATGGCTGAGCAGAGATTAGCTGATAACTGATTTTCACCACCCTCCACTGTTTAGAAATATTATCTCGCACACACAAGGAGCTACTTGGCTGTAAAAACAAGGGCATGTTTAAACTATTATTGTTTTATTTAATAATTAAACATTATCATTTAGGTCATAAGTGAAATGATGCACCAGTAAAAAAACATTTTACTTGTGTTTGACAGTTACACTGACCGCCATCTTGACTGAATGAGCCATATGTTGTTTCTGTGCAACAGTAGGTTGCAGGGCTCCATTCAAATAAACAGCACAAATTCCTTCACATATTGCTGGGGTCAAAACGCTCCAAAGACTTTAGAAAAATAAAGACATTTACTCTTTGCTTTATCTTCCAATGCCAGATGAAACTGGTTTCTGTTTTCAGATTTATATCTCTAATCTTTCTGATCTATCTGAACAGCTTCACAAGCAAATTCTTCCACAGTGAACTATCAGCAAATATGCTGGCACTAAACAACAACTCAGCATCTCTGCTGCTCTACGTTTGCTGGGAAGAATCATGGGAATATGGTTTACTGTGAGCAAGGTGTTATTGCTACTTTTCAGTAAAGAAAAATTGTACAATACGCGTTAATACCACAGCTGCTAAATAATGAAATGATTTTTCTGATGCCTGTAAATCTTACCATAAGCAGGGATGCCATAGGGCTGACCAGGCTGAGGGTAGCTTGCATATGCTGCGGCCTGCTGCATTCCTGTGGTGTACTGCGTCTGCCCGTACGCAGCCATGTTTTGAGACGAAGGAGTCGGCAGAATATGTGGGTACGTCCTGCTATAAGAGGACAGAAACAGAACAGAAAAGTGAGAAAATAAACCAGGAAGAGCCCTAAAATTACCAGCTTTATTAACTGCTAAATTCTTGTCATTGTTATCCTTAAACAATTGGCCAACGGGTGGCGTCCCAAAGCTCATATACTCAGGGAAACAACAATAAATGGAAAAAGGAAATTTTTACAAGATAATAATTACAACAGATTTCCGAATGCACAGACTGAAGACGTCCAGGCAGACATAGCCAGTCAGAAAGACCCAATCTAACAGAAGGATCTGATTAAAGAGCCAAATGAAGCTGGATGCTGCTTATTTTTTTAAAGGAAAAATAAAAGAAACCTTACTTGGACGGGTAAATCTGCGGAGAGAACTGGTGAGTTTGTCTTGGGCTGAAGCCACTGGTTCCAATAGCTGAGGAGAGTTAAAAAAGAAAAAAAAAAAGAGGCAAGCACATATTTAAACATTAAGAAATAAGGTAAATATTATCTTCTGCCAAAAAAGAACTGCTGGACTTTAAGGAAAGGGCAGTAACATTGCTCAATTTATTGCTGTAAAAGTATATAATGTTAAAAACAGGGGAGCAATGAACGAATCAAAATATCAGGTAAGTAAAAACTTTGTTCATTTTTGGGTTACTTCAAGGCTCCAATGACGCCCACAGAAATGTATAAATTTCAACCATCAGAAGAAGACATTTTTTTGAATGCTTTTAATTATCGACACACAAAGTTACTGACTAGTGTCTGGGACTGACTGACTTTTAGCTTAATTAATCCTGATCTGTAATCAGCTGTTTGGACTGTAATCAGCCTTGTTTGTTCAGATCAATATATGCAACATATCTAAGCATACTTCAACTTACTGACATAACCACATTTAAAAAATAGATCAAAGGAAGAACAAAGATAAAATGCTTTCATAAAGAAAACTACAACACATCATAATATGTCTTATCACACTTTGGCTGTAAAAAGACAAGAGAGAGCAATACTTTCAGTGAATAACCTGATGGCTGAACAGAATATGGTAATGTAGCACAGCTTTAATACTTTGAGTTTTTATCTTCTGTTTTTTAGAACATACAGGGTGTGAAAATGTGACACTTTTAAAACCCTACAATTAAGATGATGTTCTACATGCTTTGGGTAATGCAGGCACTGTGGTTATAGTCAAGCTTATCACAATTAACAACACTAATTGCTAATTTAGGTTGTCGAGATCTATTTGTTCCCCAATGGGCTCTACTATTAATGGAAATAATGAATCATTAAAAATGGCAGACAAGCTAGAAAAATAATTTTTCACAGTGACGGTGCAGGTGCTGCAGCAGTTAGCTCGCACGACCCATATATGGAGGTCTTAATGTAGTCCTCGACGCGGCCGACCCAGATTCGAATCCGACCTGAGGTCCTTTGCCGCATGTCTCTCCCCCTCTCATACCCCCCTTGCTGTTAGCCTACTGTAGAAAAACGAGCCACTAGTGCTGCAAAAACTCAATATATATATTTATTTTTTGTTTTGTTCATGTTCTGAAACATGACAAAAGCTTGTAAAGAAAAATAGGAATAAACTAGTATCAAACGGTTGTACATCTCGACTTAGCTTTCAAGCAACAATGACAGTAAAAGTAACTTTTAATGCAGGTAGAGTGGTTTTGTGAAATTTTACAGCGCTAAAAATGTACCATGGTTTAGCCATTTAAAACAAAATACCTGATTTTCTGGTGAATAAAGATGTTCAGTTTGACTTTCCTTATATTATACAGCTTCTAAATTGCATCAAAATTATTTTTTCTTGCACTATCAGTCCTTGTTTTATTTATTCTTTTTTCTTTTTTTTTAAGCATGCAGAAAGGAATTTGATTTAGATTTAGAAAGGGTAGGGGATAAGTTGAAAAGATCATCGGGCCAGGATTCAAACTAGTGACAGCCACATTAAGGACTTAGGCCTGGGTTGCATGCTTATCCCCTGCACCACCAGGCCCTGATTATAACCCCATAAATGGTTTAAAAAGTTAACATTTCTGTCTCCCTCTAAATAGGAACTGAAAGCTGTCAAATCACTGTTTTTGGCGGAATACCCAGAAAAAAAAGTGAATAATGCTAAGAAAAATAATTCTAATAAAAATTTGGACTGAAAACATGCAAAATAAGAAGGTTTAATAAAACAAAAAAGTCTCCATGATTCGAAAAGAAGAATTAAATTAGAACATATTTAATTTTAAAAAACTTATTCAAGATTCCGATCTGCTGCTTTTTATTTCTTCATTGAAGGGACACAGTTTGGAAACATCTTTCTAATTGGTCATGACATGCTAAATGAGGGATTCTGTTGCAGGGGGGCGCTTACTGTATGAAACTGTATGCCGTAACCCCTCACACACGTTATTAATACTGAACACTTTTCCCACATCGGCAGCACCTGCCGCTGGACAACACTTTCTCCTCTGAACAGAGCTTTGGGTTTCCCCACGGAGGATACAGGGTATAAGATTACTAAATTTCATTAATATTGTCATAGACAAAACTATTGCAGTGATTTGTGCTGTTCTGGTGTTAAGTATCGCGTACTTAGTTAAATGGCAGAGAAAATACAGGAAAATTTGCAGTAAGGTAATACCACACACTGCAATTAATTAATTTTACACAAATTGTCACATTCTGGTGCACAGTGATATTACAGAGCATGAAAAAAGAGATATATGCTATGTAGCCTTGGCATTAGGTAGTAATGCATTTATGTATGTGTGTGTGTTTGGGGGAGGGGGGGTGTTTTTGTATAATGTTTCTTTACTGAAAGGAAGGTGTGAAAACACTGGCTCTGACAGGGTGATAGGGTAACAGTCCGTAGAGAGTGAGGACCACAGGGATGCCGTGTCACTCCACTGGACAGACAGACTTTGAGTTCTGAAGGTCATAATTCAGGTCTCACCGACATGGGAACCACCAGAATGAGCAAATACACACACGAAAGCAAGCACAGCATATAAATATGCTGACAAAGTCAAGAAAACGTATTTTGTGCCCAAACATACAGCAATACAGGCACACACCTTAGGCAAGATTTGCTGCTGGGACACCTACTAAGGCCTGACTTATCAGCCAGCCATCTTTAAGTTCATCACATCATCGACTTTGTTGTGTTTGTGTGTGTTAATCCAGTCATACTCAGAAATGTTCACAGGAGACAATTGTTTCTCCCTTACCTGATCCTGAGAAGCTGTCTAAAGCGGAGTCTGTGATTGAAGAGGCGATTTCACTGCTGCTCATTGGCTCTGTTTTAACTGCAAATAAAGAGGTCACACTGTCACCAAACCAAGTAAGGAAATAAAATAAAACCATTTTATTTATATGACAATATAAACACATTTTGCTGTTTCTAAACCTGCACCAAAACATATAACAGCTGAAAGGACTAAGCAGTCAGAATTTTCTTTTGAATTTCAAAGTCTATAAAATAGTTTTCAAAATAACAAATTAATAACTTACATTTGATATTATTATGTCATATTTTTTAATTAGAGAAGCAAAAATAAGGCTTTTTCTAAGTTAGCTTACTTTGGTTTTGTTTTCGGCTTCACCTAATAGTTCAGATATTTTAACCTTCTTTGGATGTATAATTTTTTTTTGTTGCTGTGAAGACCTTAACGTGTTAAAATGAATTGCTAAAGTTAAAATGAACTGCAGGTATTTTGATAGAGCCAGCGGTTCTAAGTCTTACAGAAAATTAAACATTTAAATTTTACATTTTTACATGATATTTTTTACATATTTTATATATATATATACATATATATATTCATTATTTAAGCCAACCAGGTAAAATAGCTTGATTCCCATCTCTGACCAATTGTTCATTAAATGACTTTAAAAAACAAAAAAAAAAACATAATAAATCTATAAGTTTTAAAAGCTATTCATAGTAAGCACTGAAATATTTCTAAAACTGTAAATTTAATTTTTTCACACAGCAGAATAGACAGAGAATATTTGACTAAAAGTTGCCACCCCAAAAAATAAAAAAAACTACTTAAAATCTCAATATTTAAAACAACAAGATAGCAATGCAAGGGTGCGCTTATAACTTTAACAGAAAATAAAACTTATGCAAGACATGCAACTGAAATTAAAATGTCGAGGAAATATATAGCGTATAAAATCTTTTTAAGGGTGTAGCGAACGCTGTTTGACCTTGACTACTTTATACAACCCAGCAATAGATTTGCAAAGACAATTTCACAGCTCTCTGACAGCTCAGGAATCTTTGAACTCAATCCATTTCACTTCAGGCGGGCCAAGGGATTTGTTTTCTTTTTTTTTCCTTTTTTGTGGCAAAGCAAATTGACAATGTGGGCAAAGTAGTCATGCTCAGTAGAATCCCTCATGGCTGAAGAAGCCATTTGCTGTCATGTTTTACATGTTTCTGCATCGCTCGCACACATGTTGATGAGGGGCAACACCTTTGAACAACACAACGGTAAAAAATATGTCACATAGTGCATGCATGAACTAGCACACACCGGGGGTCACATTGCAAACAATAACCACTATGCTCAGGAGGCGCAGTATGGAGGATCTGAACAAAAGTTCCCAACCTGACAACTCAGAACAATGAACTCAAGGCGAGTTGGTGTCAAACCATGCTTGAAAAAAAATACCAGAAAATCCAAAGACTTTAATTAATGAAAGGCACAATAGTTGAGGCAGTTTTGTAATTATTACAGCGTATAAACTTTTTGTTAGTGTGAGATTGTGATGAACACAAATTTCCTTCGAAATTCGAAAAAGAGGGAGTGCTCCTTTTCCAGTTTGGATAACACCAAGTATTGTCCTTTCATTGTGTCACTAAAAGTAGACAAACCTGCTGTAGACTGTGAGTTAGAACCTAACAACCAGTCTGCAGTGGTGAGCATTGTGATGTTATCACCTATGGGAAAGACAGAATGGCAAAAGGCACATATGACACTCTGCATGGTGGAAAAAAAACAAACAAACAAAAAAAACTCTTAGCCTCGGGCTAAGATGAAACCTTGTGATCACAAGGCATGGGATGATTTTAATAATTTGTTGGGTTGTGACTGCTTCACTAAACAAAGGCTCAGATTTAAAGCTCAGGCGAATCACCTGAGCAAATAAGTATGTACAGGGGAGACCACATTCAAAACTCAACCATTTCCATGCTGTGGGCTTTGAATAATTACATGGTTGCCTGAATAAACAGCTAATAGTCGCTGAGAAACAACAACTGGCACGCGACTGTGCAACATACAGATACATGGGTAAAAAAAATAGTGTCAGGACATCACAAGGGCAACTTTAAACAGAAAATTTCAGTGCAAAAGAAAACTAAGTGGCTTTAAAATGTTTTTTGTCACTGTTGCTCATTTCTATACATACATTTTATTTAAGATTCTTGATTATAACATAATAAACGTACCTTCTGTGCCATTGGGGGTCATGGAATTGTTACTGATGTGGGAGTTGTCGAGGTTGGGACCATTAGGAGATTCGCTGCTTCCACTTACTCGGCTGTGAGGACTGGCTAGATCCTGCATTTCCATAGACCTACAAGAACACACACACACACACACACACACACACACACACACACACACAGACACACACTTAACAAATCAAATTACACAAACCATTGTAGTTTTAGGAAAGACAAAGATTTCTGACATCTAATGTCGAGTTTAAAGAATGCCTGGTTTGAGAACATGAAGAAAATGCACGAGTATCTTATTCTACAGATGTGTAACAAAAATGTTTCGGTGTTTTTTCATAATTTTACAGCATGTTTACAGTAAAATTAGTGTGGTGTTTCATGCAGCTGAAATGACCTTAAGTGTATATCGTTTTTTTGTGGTGATGATGAGTGCTAACAGATGTTTTGCTGGTTTGAGGGAATCCTTAATGTGTTAAAAGCACAACATTCTGCCTTATTATAAGAGCCAATACCTCGGTGATGGGCGGATGAGAACTTCATGAGGCGTGTGTTTGCTCTGGCAAGCTCCTTAATTGTTTCTGTGTTTATACAAAAGACCACGCCACAGAAAACATTATTCTATCTTCTCATCTGTGCACTCAAAGGATTTGATCGTCCGCAGACAACACTGTAGATAGAAGGCATACGAGATTTGGAAGAAGAAGAAGAAAAAAAGAGCTACTGTTCCTCCTGCAACTATTTTAGGATTTTTGTTTAAACTTGAATTAATCTTAAAGGTTTTTTTCTTAAAATTAAAGCGTTTTAAAAGGGTCAACTTTAAAATTAGGTGCTTTGATTACCTGAAATACATTTTGACACAAATCCCCCCATATATATATATATATATATATATATATATATATATATATATATATATATATATATAACATGTCTTTTTTTATTAACACTGCTTTAACATTTGGTTAGTACACTGGATGCTTGCTCACTGAACAAAATTTGAAGGCGTTCGGAATGTCAGAAGTTTCAATATTTTTATACTTCATCTTTATCAGCATTTTGCAAATGATAAAACTGGCTGAGGTCAAAAGCAAACAACAGACAAAAAACACACAAAGAAAAAAAAAAGCAAAGCCAAACAAGACATATAAAATTGGTTATGGAAGCTTGAATGTCTTTTCCCCAAAGGGTTTATAAGTTTACTCATCCTAAAATAATCACACCCTACAAACTGAAAATACTTGACAAAAGTCCAGGGACACTGAGTCTTTTCCTTGCAATTCTCAATCATTTGCTCTCCTACTTTGCCCCAAATTTCCACTCATGGCCTGCCAACTAAAAGGGCTACTGCAATGCATGCTTTCTTCAGTTAGGAAACATATTTAGCAGTGAAATGCCCATTTTTACAGTGATCACTGATGCCACAGAAACAGCTACATTTCTTTGGGGATTTTCGAACCGCCACAATTCTGCTCTTACCTGCACCTAGACAGCTCTGAGTCCTCCCAAACCACACTCCCTTTTCTTTATTCAGTCTCCACCTGCCCCAGGCAGGAAACAATGTTAGTCCTTGTTAGTGCAGCTCGATGTCACAGTCCGGAGCCATCCATGACACAAAAAGGCTTATCAGAGAAAACATTATTGTTATTCTGGAGCAAAATGGGAAGAGAGGGCTGGCAAGGGAACAGAGGCCCACATTGTCTGTTTCTGAGCTTCAGCCTGCTCCACTGTTGTTTCCTCCTCCAGGTCCTCCCTCCTCCCTCAGCAAGGGGAGCATGGCCAAATGACGGAAAGGTGATTCATCATTGGTCTACGACAGCTGCAAACTGGATTAGCCCTCCCCCAATCAACATGCAAAGCGGCTTAGCCAAGGTAAGCAGGAAGGGTGTTGGGGGGGTTTGGTGAGTGGAGGGGCTAAAGGAGTTAAGGTAGGCAGCAGGGTGAAGGGTTGGGGGGTACAAGGGGTTGAGGGGAAGCGGGGTGTGGGAGACTCTTTCTACTCTCCTGCCGACTGAAAGAAGATGGGACTTGTTGAGCAGAGGCAAGTCGACCGTGACACCCCTAGCATCTTCAGCAGATCTTTCATCTACAATTGACACTATCTGAATTTATCAGCACTCCTCCTCCAGGCAAAATGACAGGTCCTAATGACCATTGGAGCTTCTTCCCACAGGCCTGCCCAAGCCTGTGGCTATTACCCAGAAAGAAAATACAAAAAAATCCTCACTTCACAACCGCTCTGAATAATCAGATGTCTACACAAATGTTTAGATATTCTCACAGTCTCAGCAGGCTGTTTTTAAGCTCCTAAAATCGAATCATATTCTTTGTATAGTTTAAATTCCTCACAGTAAAAGACCAGAGAATGGCTGATGCGACTAATATAGAATAGCAAACCTAACCCTCCCGCAATTATTGCTGCACACTACTGGTCAGCTGGCTAAAAGAGGGCTACTACCTTGCCTCTACAAGGAGAAATAAAACTCAGCTGTTTGGGAAATTGGGTATACGTATTACAGCAGTGTAATAACACAATATGAGATAATAAATCTGTATAACTTAATTCAACAGATTTAAACAAAAAAACAAAATACAAGTAATGACTATTTCTACTGCCATAAAATATAACAACAAATAGATTATCACAGATCACTGCATTCACATAGTTTCAATGCATTTTGCAGCTGAAAATAATAACAGCCAGTTGTGCCTTTCTTGAAGCAGTGTTAAGTTTAATAGCTTTCTTTCGGCCAGCTGATCAAAAACTGAGCAGCATTGTGTTACCAGAAAAATCTCCTGTCATTCAGTCATGTTCTATGGTTTCTAATTGGAAAAACGTTAAACTTTAAAATAGATCGGATGGGAAAATTTTAGTTTTCTAACACGTTTTCATCTCAGCAATCTACCATTTCCTGTTTGAATTAGTTCCTCTCGTGACAAACATTATTATTACTAATCATCAATGTAATATTATTATGTAGGAGTAGAAAAAAAATTATGAAATTGGTCTCATTTAAAACCTTGTTATAAATGTAAAATTACACTAAATGTGCTTTGATTTGACTTAAGTTAATATGTAGCGATAATCTCATATCTGCCCATGTCTAGTTATTACAACACAAAAGTTTATGTCTATGTCTTATTTTATTTTTTTTTTTAGCAAAAATACCTATAACTCCTGTCGGATTGCTTGCATATATCATCCACAGGGCACTCAGGGGCCCCAGATCAAAGTGGTGTAAATGCACACACACACACACATCTCTCAATGACTCACACACACGGGGCACTTTAGAGGCCCCCAGATCAGTGGTGCATCTCAGACAATGAAGCAGACTGGAAACAAGAACATGGAGAGCATATGGAGCCACATATGTTTCCTATGACGCTGCGAATGCCTCTATTACTCTCCTTTAGCTGACAGTTACATTTTGCTGTCCACTCCCGCTAGGGCCTGCCTCTCTGCAAACATCAAGCGGGGCCTTATACTTGCGTGGTTATGGTGCTATATGAGACTTGACTCTGACCCTCTGTGCAAATAGAGGGTCCCAAAAAAAGGGTTAAAGGCATTCATCTGTTCAGGGAAAAGGAAGAAAAAAGGATGCAGTTTTCTTATTTTTCAAATTCTAGCGAGATTTTTAATGGCCCACTGTTTACATGAGCAAAGGTAACCTGAGCTCCATGGTCTTAAGCTTCTTTTTTTTCAAACAGGCTTTGCGCTTCACACCATAGCAAAGCCTTCATGAATACCATTCTATCTTTACAATTTGCCTTCTCTCCTAAACTTTGCAGCTGAATATAACCATTACAGGCTATTCTATAAAAACAAAACAAAAGCAAAAAATTAAACAAAAGAATAAAAACAACAGAAAAGGTGAGTATTTCCCTTTAACACCTAAATTAAGGGGAGTAAATATAAAATAAAATACATGTCAGAATAATAAATATTATTGCTATTTCCATAGAGCTAAAAACTATGAAGACAAAAGAGAAACGCATTCTGCTACAGCACATTAACAGCGATCATGACTACAAAGGTGGTGGTGGGGGGGTGGGACTGCTGGTGGACTGATGTGGGATTGTGAGTGGTGAATTGGGCAACCCGAAAAAGCCATTACCATTCTGGCATTTCTACCAGCTCCTGCAGGTAGAGCTCACCAGGTGAAAAGATGAATAAAGAAAAACAAAATGAAGATGGAGGCTAGATTTATAAAATGGATCATAAAATAACATTAATTGATAGAGAGATAGGGCCACATTAAGCATCTTTGATGTCCGTCTTACTTCAATCTGAACTGGCAGGTCTTTGAAGCCTTCGTAAGAACAAAGACCAGCTAGATGAAGCGCTAGAAGTGTCATCAAGAAGACGTAGTGCCACAACAAGCTTCATTCACCGTGGTTTGCTAGCCTTTTAGTTTCGCTTTACTTATTTCAAGGCCTGCATTGCTGAAGATAAATAAAGCCCTAGCCAAGCTTTTAACAGAGATCATCAAAACATGCAGGGTGTCCGATCTGTCTGACCTGTGTTACTATGCATGCGGGGACCTTCTCATTCACATGGATGGTGCTGTTTTAAATGCAAAATCTGGGGCTTGATTAAACTGTTTTTATGAATAAAATAAAAGAAATTATACTCTTTAAATACAGTCAACATTTAATGAGGGATTTTATAGCCTATTTGATGCCATGTATGATTTTGTAAATCTTTGCTGAATAATGCTTTAATCAATATTAATCTTTAGTATGTCTGATTTCCACTTAGGTTGGTCAGCTGAATCCGCATGGTGGCCGAGGAAAAATAAATCTACTCTGACTAGAATGGAGACGCAGACAACAATTGGACACAGATGTGAAGGCTACAAGATACAGTGCATTCAATGCTGAGATTCACTTAAGATTTAATGCATAAAAGAATCAACATTAAATAAGATTTTATTGTATATTTAAAAAACATTATATTAGAGCATTAATAAAAAATCTAAAAAATCAAACACATATTCTTTTGGAAATAAATGTAAAATCAGACCCCCAAAATATTGCACTACTTTTTTTTACATGTTTGTCATTTATAGAAAAAAAATTTAATTTAACTGTGATTTGTAAATAAAAGCATAATTGCCAGCAGATGCTTATTGATGCCCAATTTGTCGCTTTAATTTGGATTTTATCTGGCATCATGCCGTAGCAGATCTCTCTGCACTTACATTAAATGTGTTAATACCATTTTCTTCGACCTTTAAAATTATTTCCAGAAGGTGACTCTTTGCGTTTAAGAGGCTATCAGGTAAATTTAAGGTGGACATTTTGTCACAACCTCCCGATTACCATGGCCACTGCAGAGCGAGGGGAGATTTTTCACATGACAGCTGAAACCAGAAAGCAAAAAGCTTACTGATTTTTTTAAGTTGGTATTATATATATATATATATTTTTTTTTTTTAAGGAAATATTATGAAGAATTAATTACCTAGAAAAAAAACTTAAATTTCCTGTAATATTTGGAATAGTGCAATATATAGAGCTGTAACAACAATAATCCTCACATCAGTGTATTTACAAATAAACACAGGAAAGGATATTAGTGATTAGGGATCTGTAATGGCAGTCATCTGAAAGCTCATTTCCTGCTCTTTCAACCACATATTTTAGATTCAAACAGTGGCGTGTTAAGAAAACAACACCCCACGGTATTTAGTAAACACCCCCAGCCCACTAATCACCTACAACAGACTACTTAATAGAGGGTCCCTGTTACCTTCTTCCTTCTCTTGTGCCCTGTTTTCAACTTCCCGTCTTTCCTCTCTAGTCTCTGAATGAAGCTGGACCAATTAGTGCTCTGTGTCTTTCACCATTTTCAATCTCCAGGCCAAGGGTCTAGCCGGCTAGTTGCATCCAATACGGAAGGCATCAGTCCTTAGGCAAACATTGCCACCGTCACCGGAGCTCACTGCAGCTACACAACCATGAAGCGCTGCAGCCAGTCAGAGAGACCCTGATCTCTGTCTGTGTAAAGCAAATATGCCGTGCAAACAGCCTTTAAATCAGTCAGCCCATTATCTGTTAATTGAATAAATAAGGTGATTGTGTGTGAGAGAATAGCAGCAGCAGGCAGACACACAAACTGTCATGTTTGTCTTAATGGAACAGAGGACAATTTGCAGGCAGACTTCCTTAATAGTTCTCTTCGCTTTCATCAACACAGGAAGAAAACGAATTAGATGCTGAAAAACAAGTATAAAGACTAACTTCTAAAAGAGACATTTCTGTCATATATACTAACACACCAAACTGTGTTTGTTTTTTTTTTTACTTAACGTGTAAGTCTGGCATCAAAGGCAAGACATTAAACCAGACCATCCTTCAATTAGGAAGGTTAGTGATTACAGCTGGAGGAAGCATCATCTTTGCTGAACGTAAAATGCTGGCGAGCGGAGACGCCACACAGCCGGTAGTCGAGGCCTGTCGTCTTGGTGAGACGCTCGGCCGCTCTGCAGCATTCCTGGCCTCAGCAGATGGCATAAGATGTCAGCTGCTTTGACTGTGTTCGTTATGTTGGTTCTGCTTGAAGAAAATGTACTACTGCAGTGCAAAGCGAGCTTTTCTTCCCGAATAAAAAGCTTAAACTTTACCAAGAAAAACTAGACATGAGAAGACTAATAAGTAAAATATTTACAGGTTGATTTTTTTATTTCATGCTATGACAATAATTTTTATTTTCAATTTTGTATCAATAAATAAAACATGTTTGACAAATCATCTAAAAGTACTTAAAAAAAAGAGAGATTATAAACCTATTTTGTATTAATTCTAACCAGAGTAGAAAATATATTTTGAAAAATATTTTTGCAACGAGTTAGAAAATTATTATAAATGAAACAATATTTTTTTCGTAATATCAAGCTAGATTCCATTTTTAAATTAAACTGTTTTTGAAAATCTTCAAAACGTTTTTTAAACTTACTCTTATTTTATTGTACATTTTCAGATAAGGCCATTTTTTTCTATTAACATTATCTCAATAAGTAACTACCGTTAATCTATGACATGTTTTTAAAATAGCTAAAAATAACTTTCAGTTTCTATTTCTTTTAGTTATTGCAATCTTGCAAGCTTTGTTTAAAAAAATGTAAAATAATTTTAAGATTTAGCTAAAAACTGTAGAACATAAGTTGCAATTTACTGAAGATTTTCAGTAAGCAGAAATTGCATGCTGTAATGATAATTTATCAGATAAAAGTACCTATTAAAGAGTCAGAAAAACAAAGGTTCAGAAGACAGGACTGTTAGATATGTTAAAAATGAAAATAATTTGAAAGTTATACTCACTACAATTAGAGTTGAATCCCTGTGTGTTTATCCCCTCTTTTATCCTCCCCTTTAAAAAAAAGAAATCTTCTGGAAAAACGGTCGGCCAGTCCAGCAGAGAGGACAGCCCGCTGTCTTAAACAGCTCTCAGAGTGTTGGTAGAAGCTGTAGCGCAGTAAATGTAAACTACAGGACTACTTTTTTCTTTCTCATTTTAGGTGTTGGAACCCATTGAGCCTAGCTCAGTATCTCAGGAGACTGACTTATTGAGAACGAGAGTTGTCCGATTACTGCTTCAGGCAGAGACTGGTGAGTGTCTGAGGAAGAAGGGGGGGAAAAAGAGAGAGAGAGGGAGTGTGTAAGGGTGGGAGGGAGGGAGGAAAGCGGTGAATGAGTTAGAGGGAGAGGGAGGCTGCTGCTGCTGTTTGAAAAAGCTGAAAAGTTGCTTGGTGCTCTCACAGGAAGACTTTGAGGCTGGAGGAGTCACAGGGGAGTCGTGCCGCACACAAGCTCCCCCATATGTCATTCACTCCAAGCTTTAAGAAAGAGTCCTCTCCAGATTGTATCAGTGCAGACCAAGACAATGCTCAACAGCATGCTCTGCTCACACAGCCCGAGGGCTCAAACTTTTCTTCTCACCCCCTTCTCTCTTGTTTTTGCCATGCTCATTTTTTTTCCCCAACACCACAAACCGCATCTTTTTTTTCTTTGTTTTTGCTTTCTCTCTGAGCTCAGGGTCAAAGATGGATTTCTTTCTGTCACAGAAGGACTTCAGAGGGCAAACGAGGGGGTTAGGTCATTAGCTTTAAGGTGATAGGGAGCCAGAGGTTTAACAGCGGCCGAGAGTCTCGCCTCTGCCCGTCTCCGCAGCACTCTAGTGGAAGTCCTCCGTCAACACATACGCACAGCCTCTGTGTGCAAGGTAATGATTGCCTTCTGTCTGCTCCAGGTTATTTTTTCAACTGAGCGAAGCTGCTTCGTAGGACCGCGCTGCTACTGATGAGCTGAAACTGGTGATTTATTCAAGCTGGTGATGAGGCCTGAGCAGATTTAGCTGCAAAATGTCATGACATTGTTTCTAAGAATATCATCTGTGTGTATAAACTGTTCAAAGTACCAATGAACCGTTTCAAAATTTGTTTAATTTCAACACAGAAAAAAAAAGCTGCAGATGAAATACCAACTGTAATACTGACAAATGATGATGAAGAAAGAGGAAATCATACATTTACTATGGTAAAGAGGTGGTGAGAGAGACAAAACACCCACGGCTGGAAAAAAAAAAGTCCGCTGTTTTTCTGTCTGGACGTCCTAAAAAACTCTGTTTCCTACTTGCCATTTCCTTATGATAATTAGTAGAAATGGGGCCGATGAGGACAATATCTTAACAAGTTAGTTTCAAGACTTACATTTTCCATCGTACTCTTTCTACAATTTAAAGTTTACTAAAGGTGTAATTGAGAGGTACTGGATGTTCCTGTTAAAACATGAGAAACAAAATCCCTTTAAAAAAAAAGATTATTTTGCATTTACATTTCAATATAAGTTATTTTCTTTTCCTGTCCATCTAAATTAATCTAAACTCTGAAATACCAAGTTAAACTTCCGATATAGGCGTGACTGTCGATTGTCGGTTTCTGCTATCAAAGGTAAGAACTATAATTTTTTTTTAAAAACATTTTTCATCGTACTATTCATTCTGATTAGGTTCCTCTTATTGAGATGCCAAAAAAAGTATGACAAATATACTTTTTTTTCTTAGTTTGTTTGAAGCCCCTCCCCCACCTGTTGCTGTACACTGCCTACTGGGTCATTTTCAAACCTACAGATTCTATAGTTTTTTAAACTTCACATGTAATGTCAGAGATAGAAGTGACCAGAGGTTGTTCCAGCTGCATGGAGCACAAAGTAACTCACAACTGTTCCTCCCCAACCTGTTGCTGAGTACGGCTGGTCCGCTTGGTTGAAAGGAGGTTTACAGGAAAGACAATTGTTTTTTTTTTTTTGTTTTTTTTTTTCGGAAATATTTACAACTCTCATGAATTTTTAACCAAAGCAACACTATCCATTTATAATTTGAAGCTATTGATTAAAATATTGTGGAAATGCTTTTTTAAATTGACCCATATGCAGACTATATCTAAAGATCTGTAAAGCAATCAACATTAGATTGGTTCACTCAGTAACAAACCAGCTAATATCAAATTGTTATATAAGAAGAGCAAAATGTGGATGATGTTACAATGTTGCAAATCCTTGTACTTAGAAATTTTAACAAATGTGGTGCTCAATCTATATTTATATTCAAGTCTAAATATTAGATTTAAACAGATATTTATGTTACAAAGATAAAAAAAAAATCAATTTTACTATGTCTTTTAAATAAATGTATCAGATCTAGATCAGATTTAGTTAATGCATGTATTAATTGACCTTTTACCCCTACTTTGGGTATATTAAAATCAATTGTAATGCACTAATTTTACATTAAATTTGGAGTTTCTTAAAATAATTTTAGAAAATATTTTATGTATGTTTTTATTCTTAAATCCTGGTCAGGAACAGTGGTTGTAAATTAGCTTTGGTTGACAACCTCTCCCTGTTGAAGTAGATTAGCTGTAAACTTAGTGTCCAAACAAAACATGGCCAACAAGAACATAGCTAAAGTCAGTAATGAGCAAAATAGTGCAGAGCTGCAGCTCTCCTGAACGTAACACAGCAGTAACAATATGGATGAAAAAGCACTCTCGAATGGGTAAATCTATACTACCACATGATAGCATTGGCTCGTGAAATAAATGTTACATATACCACCTCGCTTATAACTCCGTTGACTAATAAGAGATGCTGGGGGACTCCCAGGTAACTATTTCTAATAGCAGTGGGGCACACATGCCAATCATGTTGCTGCGTTCAGGCAGCGGCCTTCTCTGTGTGTCAATAAGCAGCTGTATAAAATTAGATGGGAGACGAAATTTTGCAAGTGAGTTATTTTCAAATTGCATGGTGTAATCATGCAGCATTGTTTATGCCTTAAATAAACTCAGATTTTCCTTCATGCAGTGCTCTGCAGTGTGTGTTTTGAATAAAGGCTCCAATCAACGCAGCAGTTTCACTGGAGATTAAATAAATTAAAGGCTGTCAAAACCAAGCAAGCTTATAAAAAGGACAGATTAAGTTTTACGTTTTTAAATTGCTTCTGCGCAATTTACAAGAGCTCAAGATTTGTACATTTTGAAAAGAAACTAAGAAGTGTTTCTATTGTAGACAATGAAATAATCATTTATACAACAATAAAACCTAAAATTCCCCTGTGTCTGCCAAATGGAGGCTTAGCAGAAGATGCACAGATACGGTCCAGTTGACATAAGTGCTAAAACTGCACTTGCCAAAAACTATATCAAGTAAGAAATTTGAGAAGCAAGCTAAGATTAAATTTGAAGCCGTTCTTTATTAAGGATTATCTTGATGGGACTCAATGGTCTTCATGTGGGGTTGCAAGGATGCCTGTCTGCAATTTAGAGTGAGGAGAGATCTGAAGTGTCCTACACTGCCAATAGGTTATCCCCTCAGACCGAACTCCAAATTGCTGATTCTGTTTTAAAGATAAGGGCTAAGGTACGTTTAAATAACTTTTATTACTTTTGAAGTGACTTTTTCTTTTTTTGGACTTGCAGATGAACCAAGTTTACTTTTCTTGACTTAGAATATACAAACAGTTTAACGGAAGCAGGGACACTGTGACAAGGGATCAATGGTTTTGGATGAAACAAAAAGCTCACACTCTTGTGACACAGTTGCAGTATTTTCATATGCATGCACTGCAACATTGTTTAGGCAGAGCTACTACAGTGTTTATTCAGCGTCACACTTTGGGGGGATTGAGTTCCGTCTTTGACATGCATCTCAGCGGAGAGTTACGTATTTAAAACCTTCACCCTCTGAACGGGAAATCTGAACCTTGAGATAACTTTGAATAAAATAACACTTTTATATATTTTTACAAGCATTAGCGACTGAAGTGTTTAAATGTTGACTTAAGAGGAATTGCTAAAAACCTTAATTAAACGTGCCTCCTTTACAAAACTTGAAAATCTTGCCCCTCAGTCACATGGGAAAAAGTTTGCAGGACGTCAGTTTGTTAAAGAGCTCTGTTACTGTGAGGTACTGGATGTTCCTCTTTTAAAAAGGCAAAACAAGAGTGGTTAAGTGAAATGGTATACTCTTTCAAATAAATTCTGAAATAAACGTCCTGCTCTGTCCCAAATGCTGTGCTTCTGATAGAGGTGTGTTTTGCTCTATTTAAATTACTCAAGGTAATTTAAATAGAGCCGTTGGCCGGTTTCTCATTTCAAGGTTTTTTTGTTTTTTTTTTGTCGGTTTTTAAGTTATGGTTTCAAAAGTTTAGAGCATTTGCCATGACCAAACACTTCTTAAAAGCAGCCACAAGTCCCTCTGGCAAATTCAGATAGATGTAAATGCCAGTATAGTGGGGAAAAAAGAGGTGCCACAAATCCCCCTTATCAAGGTAACCTGAAAATACAGGCAAGCTTTTGGGATGCTTTATGTAAACCAGTAGGCAGGCTCACAAGTGGTGATTACTTGCTCAATTATTCTTTATCTTTGGTACAAGCTCCCTTAATGCTCCTTAGGGCTGTCTTTAATTGGTATCATTTGCAAGGTAAATACTAACAAATAAACTGTAATGCAAAACTAGTTTATTTATAGCACATTTCAGTAGCAAGAAAACTAAAACTATTGTACATAATAGGAAAACACAAAGATATTTATATTGAAAGATAATAGAGAAAATAATAATTCTAAAATGATTGATAATAAAATAAAAGAAAGTTGAATTTCTACCAATTTAAACTATTTATATTTAAGCAGGACATTCAAAGCCACGCTAAAAAATAAGTTCATAATAAGCCAAGCACTAGAAGTAAAAATTGTTTTGTTTGGTTCTGGTTATGCAGAGTAGGCTTGGGTCAGAAAACCTGAGAAATCTGGGCATTTTATGCTAATAGATGCAATGATTAATAGACCAACAATTGTTTACACTCTGTTCTACGAGTAACAGGGAGTTAACTTATCAGGACATATAATCTGTTTATTTTTAGCACATTATCAATGTGGGACTGTTCCTATTGTATCCGTTTGGGGAAAGGAGGGACATTCAGCAGAACTGTTGAAGTCGTCTTGACAAAGAAACACCTACAGTAGTGCATGCCTACAAAAGTCTGGTTTTAGCAAATCACTGTAATGATCTTGGTGCTGATGACTGGATTGATTATTCATTTTATTCACCTGCCAAGCTCTGCCC